TATTCCTGGCTGAACGGCGATTCCAAGCATTTTTGTAAATGCTAATACTTGTTTCTCTGAAATTGTTTTATCCATGTTTATTATAACTCTACAGTAATCGTACGTCTTTGTTACAGAAAACGTAGATATGAAATGTTGTACTTGCTTTATGTATGTGTATTGAATGTTTTAAACAAACATGAAACTGTTGGATTATTTGGAATTATTTGGCACAAACAAACAACTGATGAAAATATATGATATATTACGACATGGACCAACCTTTCAATTATAAATTGTTCAATACTAAGTTTACTACGTCTTACCAAATGAACTCTTTTTAGAAGAGAGATTTTTTTCATTTAAATTTTGAAATTGTTTAATAAAATTTTTATTAAATTCGTAATTATTCTAGACATTGTAAATTGTCGTTAATGATATATTATTTGTTTTTATTGATTTTTTACCAGATGAGTTTTTTGTGTTTATTGTTGTTGTTGTACTTTTTTAATCTTACCTGTCAACCTTGTTTGATTATTATCCCTATATTAGTAAAGTAATGTCCTTTCCGGTCATCTGAGAAGGTCATCCTTTGTGTTATAAAATGTGTTGGTCATTTTGATGTAAAAAAAGATGCAGGTTTTTACTGAGAATTCTATAATTTATAAGAATTGAGGAACTGGTATTGGTTTGTTTTTATTGATTTGTTTTTATAAGTTTCAATGTCAGCATTTACATGCAACATATACAATGGACTGCCGGAAAACATTTACATGCAGCAAAACCAATTCATGCTCTTCATACATTAACATTCAACGAAATCAATTGATGGCCATAATACATTTACTTGCAGGAACATCAATTTATGGCGGCCGTAAAATATTTACATGTAGAAAATAAATCAATTTATGGCTGTTATACATTGTCATGCAGCAAAATCATTTCATGGCCGTTACTCAGTTACATGCAGCGACATCATTTGGTGGTCGTAATATATTTTCATGCAGCGAAATCAATGATGCCGTACTATATCTTTACATGCAGCAAATCAATTGATGGTCGTAAATATTGACATGCAGCAAAAGAAATTGATGGCTGTACAGAAACATCAATTGTTGGCTGTTTTATAGTAACATGCAACAAAATGAATTGGTGGCTGCAAACTATTTACATATTACGAATTTAACTAAAGGTCGTTAAATATTTATATGTAACGAAATTAACTGAAGGTCATATGATATATACATGCAGAATAATCAATTGATGGCCGTTATAAAGTAACATGCAGTAAATTCGGTTGATGGCTGTTATATATTTACATGCTCCAAAAAATATGATGGTCGTAAAATGTTTACATGCAGCAAAATCATTTGATTGCTGTAAAATATCTACATATAGTAAAATCATTTGATGGCTGTAAAATATTTACATGCAGCAAAATCATTTGATGGCCGTAAAATATTTACATGTAGCAAAATATTTAATTGCCGTAAAATATTTACATACAGTAAAATCATTTGATGGCGGTTAAATATTTACATGCTGCAAAACTATTTGATTGCTGTAAAATATTAACATGTAGCAAAATTATTGGATTGCCGTAAAATATTTACATGCAGTAAAGTACAATAACATACAGCGAAAAAAATAATTAATGGCCGTTATAAATTGACATGCAACGAAATCATTGATTTGATATTTACATGCAGTGAAATCATAATATACTAACATCAGTGAAATCATTTGATGGCTATTTTATATTCACATGCAGCAATATCAATTTATGGCCGTAATATTTACATGCATCAAAAATCAATTGATGCCGCAAAATTCAATTGATGCCGTTATATATTTACATGCCATAAAATAAATTGATGGCCGTAAAATATTTCATGCAACCAAATCAATTGATGGCCGTAATATATTTACAAGCCGCGAAATCAATTGTTGCCGTACTATATTTACATGCAGCAAAGTCAATTTATGGCCGTAAAATATTTACACGCAGCAAAATCTATTGATTGCCGTTTTATGTTTGCATGCAGCAAAACCATTTTATTGCCGTAAACAATTTACATGCAGCAAAATCATTTAATGGCCGTAAAATATTTTACATGCCACAAAATCAATTGATGGCAATAAAATATTTTCATGCAGCAAAACCATTTACTTGCCGTAAACAATTTGCATGCAGCAAAATCATTATAAGGCCGTTATATATTTACGTGCCACAAAAATCAATTGATGGCAATAAAATATTTTCATGCAGCAAAACCATTTGATTGCCGTAAACAATTTGCATGCAGCAAAATCATTATAAGGCCGTAATATATTTACGTGCCACAAAATCAATTGATGGCAATAAAATATTTTCATGCAGCAAAACTTTTTAATTGCCGTAAACAATTTACATGCAGCAAAATTATTTTAAGGCCGTAATATATTTACATGCCACAAAATCAATTGATGGCAATAAAATATTTTCATGCAGCAAAACTATTTATTTGCCGTAAACAATTTACATGCAGCAAAATCATTTTAAGGCCGTAATATATTTACATGCCACAAAATCAATTGATGGCAATAAAATATTTTCATGCAGCAAAATCAATTGATGGCAATAAAATATTGTCATGCAGCAAAATCATTTGATTGTTGTTAAATATTTACATGCAGCAAAATCGTTTGTTGGCCGTAAAATATTAACATGCCACAAAATCAATTGATGGCAATAAAATATTTTCATGCAGCAAAATCATTTGATGGCAATAAAATATTTTCATGAAGCAAAATCATTTGATTGTCGTAAAATATTTACATGCAGCGAAATATTTTGATGGCCGTAAAATATTTACATGCAGCAAAATCAATTGATGGCAATAAAATATTTTCATTCAGCAAAATCATTTGATGGCAATAAAATATTGTCATGCAGTAAAATCATTTGATTGTCGTAAAATATTTTCATGCAGCAAAATCAATAAATAGCAGGAAAGTACATGTATAGAAACACGTCTCAAAATCGATTGTTAGTCGACATCCAGGTCCATATAAACCTAAATATTACAATCAAACGATATGCGTTATAAAAATTATTGATTTATCCTTATATCTACCTTTTGTTAAAAAACTGGCGGACCTTTCTTAAAATGTTTATTTTATTCTCGTAAGCATTTATTCGGCATGTATGGCAGAAACAAAGCACTTTTTTCAAGCACTAGATGGCAAAAAGTCAAGTATATAACACCTTTGAAAAGTTTATGTATTAAATGCCGTAACAGTAGAATGTGTCAATCAAAGATAAAAAAACATTTACCAATGATAAGTGTTTTAGTTTGTTTTTCATGTTTCTGCGGGTTATCAAAACATCTGTGTCAAAGGGTTCTCCCATGATTCCAATTGTATTGTTTCCAATTGTTTACAATTGATTTTTAATAGTTTTATAATATTTCAATGTCCACAATTTTGAAGTGTTTCAGTGTTTCGGATGATTTAAACTGCCTTAAGTGTGAATCATACTATCATACTGTCAAAGTTTAGACTTGCGTGTATATAAATTTCAAATACAATTCGGTGTTTCTGCTCAGGTTCCTGTCGGGACTTAAATAATGAATGGAGAGGCACCTGAGGTCTTCCTCCACCAGCAAAGCTGACGCACGTCGTCATATAACATATACTGTGTCGGTGTGATGAAAAATCCAATCAAACAAACAAGCAAGCAAACAAAAATTAATTCAAATGATTACAACTGAACAATCATTCCGTGTATAAAATCATTAAATGTCATGGTTTACTATTTAATGATAATTTCAAAATAAAAATAACACCGGATCTTGATTCTTTTTTTTTTGTTTGATTAACAGTTTGTTTTGTTTTGTTTCAACATAGAATTAAAAAATAAAGATATTTAACAATTAAAGTTTATGTAATAATAAAGAAAACTGAAATAATAGTTGTACAAAATATATGTATCAGAGAAATTAAAATGTTAACTGTATATATTTACCTGAAGATATTCCCACGATATGCCGATTTTAAACTTTAGAAAATTTATTTCATTTAAAAGCATTCAGTATTTCGTTATATCCCGGGATTAAAGCATATTGCTATCATTACAATATATCCCAACGAACTATAAATATTATACGCTCACTGTATAGACAGTTTCACACGATGTATTTATGCTAAACATAAATTCACAATTACTCAGGTTTAAGATTTTACCGACTTTTTAACGGCGTTCTTTTATAATGGATATTTTCATATAAGTGTGTAATTCGTAGATATCATATTGGATTGTGTCGTTGTTTTTGTTATTTTGTTTGTTTGTTTTGTTGTTTCTAACGTTTACATTGTGTTTTTATTTGTAGTTTTCATATTTATTTGCTAAATAATGAATAATGCTAAATCAAACAAAAGAATATAGTAACTGATATTTTCGAAGTCAAATCAAAACTAAATGGTAAAATTATTTAATATTTTACAAGGCTAACCGATATACTGTTGAAAAAATTTAAGGAAACGTTGAAAACAGCCCCTCAATTTGGTAGTTTTCAGAGATTTTTTATTAGGTGCTCTATGTAGGAAAATAGTCAAACACGATGTAAAAACGGTCGGGGTAGGGTAACACTTTTGTGCATATTTCATAAATTTTGAATAAAAACAATCATTTTTGCATTTGTGGATTTTAAGCTGAATGTTACTTTATCGTATTTGTTTCATCATTATAATGATTTAATGAGAAAATATTTTTATATGGATGATATCATAGATTCTTTACAGTTTCTTTATTTTTGAAATAAAGCCCTTCTAATTATCAAGCTTTAGTTCATGAAAATGTACATTACTGGTAAACACAAGGAAAACTGTGCTTAAATTTTGCATACAGGTGTCTTTTAAGGCATATGAGTGGCCTACATTGTAAAGTTTACAGTTAGTTAAAGAGATCATTTGGAGAATCTTACCTGAAATGCAATTTTCTGTTTCAGAATTTCGTTTTTGTGTTCAAAAGAAACAATACAGCGAATAAACATCTTTACTATTTTTATTTCAATTAGTAATTCTAAACGACCATGAAGATGCCAAATTAATGTGTTATTTTCATTTATGGTTTGTTTTGCCGTTCTTTCATTCCATTTCCACCTTGTTGTTAGAATAATAGTGCATTTTAATAACCAGTATTTTTGTAATATCCTGTAATTTTAGGCAATTCTTTATCGAGCTTTTTAAGAAGATATTGTGCCTGAACGACAGCGTCTGCACTAGAAGTAGCCATTATTAAATTTTCGAGACCATGCGTCCATGTATTATGATAATTTGATAACTTATGCTGCTTATTGTCAATAAATACATGAGGGATATTCAAAAGTGTACACAATATAAATCCATGGAGACGATCTGTTACTACAACTCGTCCTCTGGAGAGAAACATCATACCGTTAGCTGTCATCAAATACGAGTCTTCCATTGGGGAAGTACCTTTTGGTGTTGACCACAGTTTCCAATCTGCTACATGCATGCGGTACTTTCCCGCAGATTTTGGCGCATCGTAAACAGGCGTTTCTGCATCAGTTCGTTTTATCCATAGTATGTCTTGAGTCGGATCCATAAATCTTTTCACTGGTCCTAATTGGAAGACAATATCAGGGGAAAGCAAAGATCTAACGTTCGGGAACAATCTTTTACCTAATTTGTACGATACAGAATCTCTCCATATGAATGTTAAACTAGGGTGGGATGAATAAACTTTTTTACATAACTCAATATGTTCAGTGTCTCCTCGGTGAAAAATACTCTGTGGAAACATGATTATATTGAATGCTTTGAAATGTGGAATTTCTTCAAACCGCCTCTTATCCTCGTAATGGTATCCTATTATATTACCACCCCCGTGCAAAAGAATCACAAGTTCAGTACTGCTGTAGTTCTTACTTAATTTTTCTGCGTAATCTAAATGTTTGCCACAATGTGCGGTTGAACACGCAAATACAACATCTATATTTAATCTTCGCAACAGAGTTGCTTCACCTACAACAATAGCAGCGTCACCTTTGTTTTCTGATGGTGAATAATCAAACAACATTGCATACTTATATCCCTTTAGAAGAGTACTAAATATGTTCATATGAATTCTCTGAGCTTCAGCAATGACATCTGATCGTTTTGTCAAAAGAGGAGAGAGTTTATTAGCCTGCTCAGGGTAGGTTGTGAGATCCGTAGCATAAAACTCTTCAAGACTAAAGTTGAGACTTTGGGAAAGTGATAAAGGTTTGATTTCTGACTCATACGATTGCTCTTTGGAAACATCATTAAAGTTGTGCACAGTTCGCTCTTTGTTTTCCCTTGAAAATAACACGTGACTACATGGTAGTCTGTATGTTTGTAATTGGGATATCAGTAATAACAGTGTTATAACCATTGATACTAGCAAGATTATATTTTTCCATTTAGCCATATCTGAAACAAAAGGTATAACATGTAGCTTATCATTATATTTATTTTTGAATTATTTATAGAACTAGAGATTGCCTTCAAAGATTTAATGGGACTACTAAATCTTAATACTTCCATCAGGGTCTTTCAAATAGAATGGTCTTGGGTCCCAACCAATTTTACGAAAGAAGATGTCTTCGTTCAATCACGTATTAATTGAAATCAAATTTCAAGATAATAATTTGATAAATCGATCAAACAATTGCTGATTTTAATCCCGGCTACATTTCAATATCAAATTTTACTTTAAAAAGTAACAAATTTATAGATTTGCAATAAAATTAGATATTTTCCGGTGTTAAGGTAAAAATTGACTGCTCATATCTGAAAATAGACCCAAGTTTCATAACCTTTTTTTAAATTTATGCATTTTCAATGACAAAATAGACATTGATTTTACTGAGGAAAAAACGTTATTCAATTGTATAATGTAAAGAATTTATAATATTTCACGATGCTATTTTTAAATATTTGATTTTCAATTTGGTGCTTTTTCAAAATGGCGCCGTTTATCGGCAAATATTTTGAACAATCAATGGTTTTCAACAGATATGGCTTTTAAAAAACATTATAATCAGAAATATTCATCTATTTTTCACAAGTTAAAATATTTTCAAAGAACTTTTGTCGTTAGAATTTTTATTTTTGCTCTTGTATTTAATTTTCGCCATTGTCTTGAACATTTACATAATTTGGTATGGCAAACTATACCGAGTTATATTGAAAAATATGATAAACAAGATCAACAAGGAAAGGCGGCGTTCAATGAACGCAACCCCCACATGACCCAGCAACAAGAACCAATGGCAAGGAGCCCAGGGGGACCCCCAAACAAAAACAGGACAGGGCAAAGACAGAGCACGGACAGGTTAATCATTAAATGATAATTAATTTGTAACTGATTAGGAATTCAAAGAAAATAAAAATAGGCCCACAAAGGGGAAGGGGACAGGAGACCGGGGGGGGGGTGGGGAGTAATCAAAGAAATAAAAACTAGAGGCAATGGGGAAGATACTTACCGTAGACGAGAAAACAACAAGGGACATGTTTAATTGTAGCGAGAAGGATTTGCATAGCGCGTTTCCAGACGATTCTATTTGAAAAACCTTGCCTTCTGTATATATTTTGAATCAAATGAAATATTTTCATTAAATTTTTCATCAATAAAATTCTTTTGTCTGTTAAAAAAGTGACAATTGACATAAACAGTCCCTTTTATTTTACAAACATGAAAATGGTACTCATATAAAATAAAATGTTCCTAAACAAAATATCATTTTGCTATTTTAATTAAGGTTTTATCCATTAAGCAATGATTTAGTACATGCATCATTCGCATTTGTTCGCTGTCAATTTGTGTTAGATTAGTAATATATCTAAAAATATTGTTCGACCAATATTCGATAAAAAATGTTTACTTTAAAAGAAAACGACCTAAATTATAAAACATCTTTTTTAGAATTGATCATTATAGATACATTCTTGACAATATCAACATGAATTTTTCTTGGTCACGTGGATAATTGATTATATTTTCAAAGTAAAATATAAAATTGAACACAATAATGGAAAAAATGTCAGGTTAATTTGTTTTCACCTGTTCACTGACCATTTGGACTTGCGTGGGCATAAAGTCATTTTAAAGTATCATAAAATCACATTGTAACCCTCTATTTAAGTTTTTAGAAATACACTTTTGTGACATAAATATTATAAAAAAATTTACCTGAATATCTAAAAGCAGTTTCAGTGTTGTAAACAATCTCCTTTGATGTGTCTACCTTTGACCCAGCATACAGCATTAAGCCAGCTGTGCAGATAATGAGTCCGATAAAGTTCCAAGCGGTTGCACTTCGAGATCCTACGACGTACAGTAAGGCTATTACAATTAACCTCTTAAGAATATTGCCAAATGCATGACCAACAACGGTAAAATGTTTGAGAACTAAAACCGTAGATATGTAAGTATATGTTGTATGAAAAACTGCAGACGTTGTAACTAGTAAATACATATACCAAAAATGTTTCAAGGAAATATCGTTTTTTGTTAGAATAAGTAGGAAAACTATTCCTGTCACACTAATACCAAAAACGTCAGATATCAATCTGTTATCTCTTTGAATAATGTTAGTATTTGACAAGTGTTTCTGTTTGATATAAACATTGCGAAATGCCAGAAAGATGTTTGAGGTAAAAGCCAAAATACTTCCTGAAGATATAGAGATCGTAGTATGGTTCGATTCGTCAGCAAAAATGACAGCTCCAATAATGACAAGAGGAATACTTAAACATTGTAAACACGATAATCTCACCCCAATAATTAATTTTTGAGCTATAGCACCGGTGAGAGGTTCCATAAGCTTTATCGCAAACGTTGATGCTGCATGCGATATTGCGATACTCCAATTTGTAGCAATGGTCGCACATGCATGCATTGTCAAAATTAAAACTTTGCTTCTCGGGCTTTTGCTTTTATTCTCTCTATACATTGATAAAAGTATTATAGAAATCTGCATTCCTGATAAATAAAGAACATTTCCATACACTTTTGTCGCTTCTAAGGTAGACTCAGCCAAAAACAGTTTAGCATAGAAATGACATATAAATGATGTAATGGTCCATCCAAAAAATATAATTATAAGAAAGCATATTGATTGTTCCATGTCGGAATGTTATGTCCATTTAGAGTAATAAAAAAAGTAATGTCATTTAATATTTACCACATAAACACAAAAATAAACAAAATTCCAGTTTTTTTCAATACAGTATATCACACAGCTACATCGACTGTCACGCTAGTGTAATTCAGTAATCATAGTTGCATGACAAGTATCTACATACAATTCAAGTCGTGTTTTATGTCCAATACATTTAAAACCAACTAATCAAATTCCTGTTTGATTACTGTAACAAAAGTATAAACTATTTTTTCTTCTGAATGTATAATCTGTTAAATTACATACGTTTTATTCACATTTTACTCAAAAAACGAAATTTTGGTTATCTTTATACAAGATAGGAGGAATATCACAGTTTCTAAAACAACATATTGTACTGTTCACTAACATATATAACAGGCAATTTATGTTACAAAATCAGTTAAAAGTAGATATTTTAAACTTTTTACTTTTGTAAATTGCTTCATTGATTTTCGTCTTATTTTTGTTTAAACTTGTATATAAAAAGTGTTTGGATATCTAAGGCATAAAACATACAATGTGTAAATTTCTAACGGACATTCATTTAACGGACATACACTTGACAATATTTCGTAGATTACTAACCAGTTATTTATCCACCAATTTCATTCTAAAAACGGCCTATTTATTTACATTACAATAATGATTGATCCGTTTATTATTTATTTTTTATTCATTTAAACAATTATTTATTTATTCAAACCACTTTTTATTTATCTGCAATAAAATATTTCTTTATTGTTATTTATTTACTTATTTATTTATTATTTAGTCTAACAACTTTTTATTTTTCTGCATTGAAATATTTATTTATTTTTATTTATTTATTTATTTATTAATTTTATTTATTTATTTATTATTTTTTTATTAATTAATTAATTATTTATTTTTTCCTTTTCGAATCATAAATTATTTAAATATATTTCAGCATTACATCCAGATCGTACAATACAGCTTTATTTTAATGGTAAAGTTATTACCATGCCTGGAAAACAGATATGGCTCCTTTCCGACAGCGTTCCGATCAAGCTTAATTTATCTCGTTTGTGTTATTGCAAAATGAAATAAAGCAAGATACTGTATGTATCAGCTACGGTCTTTAATTCTATTTTCTTTAGATTTGTATATTTTTCTGCGGCGTGCGTGGTCGAGTGGTTCAGATCGTTGACTTCAAACCACTTGCCCCTTACCGCTGTGGGTTTGCATCCCGACAGAGACTTCGGATTCCTTCATGTGTGAAATCTTTCCAGCTAGCTTACGGAAAATCGGTTATTCTACTTAGAAGCCCGCTCGTGTCTGAAATTATGCAAGGTCTACTCAACCAGTAACGCTGGAATGTCGCTATATGATCTATACGGTAAAACCCAATCAAACAAAGAAACAAAGATATATTTTCATCAAGTTAAAGTAATCACTTGGAAATTACGTAAATTGCACCATAGGTGATGGAACTAGGTGTTCGCAAAAAGCAGTCTCAAAAGTAATGTGTGTAAAGTATAAATTGTCAATTCTTAAATTGTCAAAATTTTATTTCTATTGGATAATATGTTATTTGGTTAATATGCAGATTTATATAGAAAACACCATTTATGGTAAGGCGATTCTGTTATCAAAAATGAAATAAAATAATCAATTTTTTATGTGAAATGGTAACTTACATTTTTATTCCTGATCATGCATATTACATTAATTTATTAATCACATAGATACATTTTATCAATTATTGGTAGCAGTAATTAATTTATTATAATCTATATGACCATGAATAGTTCCCACAGGAATGGGAACCCTGAATCTCAAACTCTCCTTAGTTTAACCATATTTATTTTAGCTCGATTGTGAAATAGGCACTTAAATAAAAACTTTATTTTTGATTAAATAAGTAAATGCTGGCAACAGGGACACATTGATTTTTCTGAATATGAATATCATTACATGTATGTAAACTGTGTCCTGACTGAAGAATTTGTATTTTGTAATAAGTTAAATAGACAATTAGATAAAAACATTAATTTATATTAAATAAAAGTTATAATGATTTCTATTTTCTAGTTAGTTACTATTTTCTAGTTAGTTATGCTGGAAAACATTCAGTCCAATTATTCCGATTAATTGATCGGAAAGCCTGTCCGATTGTTCCGATTAATCGATTATGAGTTTGTCTCCCGATTCCCAAGACTACAAGTGAGTAAATGCTTGGAAATTATAATGGGACACAATAAATGAACAAGCTTGTGAGAAATAAAAGTAAACTGGGACATTATCGGCCTTTGAAACATTACTGCATGGGCATTTTGTAAAAATTGGCTGTTTTCATTGAAAAGCCTCATGTAGCAAGTTTAAATTGCTATGAAACTGTAAAAGATGCCTTAATATTCATCAAACGTTTATACTTCACAACAGCAGGTATCAATTGCCGTGTGGCAGCTGTAAAAAGTTGCCCCGTACTTCACTTTATATTAGTGATTTATATTTTTCGGGATCATTGATGCCAGCACTATTAAGTGTTGAAGATTGATTACCGCTCAAGCCGATGCTAGGTTGTGTGGGGGATGTTGCACTTATTTATTATCCCTCATGTACTGACTCAGAGTCTGCAAGGTCTGCAGTGTTCACGTATTTTGTTGTGATAAATGCTTCCGATGGATCACTTTGTTTCCAGATTATTTTTGGCACAAATGATGACTAGACCATAGCCTTTGAATCGGCATGCTCAATCTTACGTTTACTGTTACCATGGTAATGAGGGGACAATCTCAAAATTGCCAAAAATCAATACTTCGCGTTGATTTTTTTCCATCCAAACTGATTTCAAAGTGCTGCAACTCCTCAATGGATTGGGATAGAGTCAAAGGCTTTTCAGCGTTGATTACATGTTATCTTCTGATCGACTTAAGGTTCATTTTAGCCTCTAACAAATTAAAAAACTTCTTGGCGATAAGAGGGGCTGCTGGCCCCCTTTAAATTCCTAAGCAAAAAGGGGCCCTTCCCCTTCTGGTACCCCTGATGAATCTTTTTAAATGGGGGCGCAGCAAAAAAGTGATCATTTTTGACAAAAACATTGCTCAGAGAAAATAAGTGTTTGTGGCCTAAAAATGATATTTTGCACTATTTGAGGCCTCAAAGGTGTTCGAACAAGCAAACTTGGACAGATATGTTATTTTTTATAAAAAATGGATTTTTTCTTTAAACGACGACCAAGCACGTGGATGAAATATATTTCTACTTGCTGCATGAAAATGCCCCATCACATACGGCAAACAAAATAAAGATATTTGGCAATGATCACCCTGTCAGTTGCCTTTAGTACTTTTTATTTCTGATATTCAATTCTTATTTGGACTGGCTCGCAAACCTTCTGAAAGCATTTTTTTAGTACCATCCTCGATAATTTGTCGAAAATTTAACAAAAAATATATATTATCGGATAAATAGATACACTTGTTCTTTTGTAGATCGGTGCAATATAGTTATCAAATATTTTAAGGATTTTTAGTTTTTATATAGAGGGTGAACATGGTAAATAGGCAATTACTGTATAGTGTTTGTTTTCGATTAAGATTAAAGTGAACTACTACAAAGTGGTGTATAATCTTTATTCCAGTCCAAATAAAGCATAGTGTGAACCCAAAATGTAAAAAAAAAAAGACATAAACACGTCAACAACTTTCTTCTTCTTTTTTCTGCAAAGCAAACTGGACCTGGGGGCCGTTTTATCAACGCTCTACGACACGTTTGCTTTGCAGAAAAAAGAAGAAGAAAGTTGGCATATGTCGGAATATATATAGTTTATTTCATAGTGTGGTCACTTGTCAGAGCGTATGTCGGTATCAATATATTTAGTTTATATTATGGTCTAGTCCAATCGTGTGTCGGTAGGGGCATCTTTTATTTTATATTGTTGACAAGCTGTAGAGACATATTTTAGTTTATGTTGTGGCCTAGTCCAAGTGTGTGTCGGTAGGGGTATATTTAAGCTTATTGTGTCTTCTTCCACGTGTTTGTCTGTTGAGGCATATTATATTTTATTTTGTGGACAAGTCCAAACATTTATTGGTATAGACATTTATTATTATCCTTATATAGTCTAGAATAAAATCAAATTAAATAAAGATTACTTTTCAGTCATAAAACTTCAGATTTATTAAAGATAGCTCGTTCAGGGTATGTATTGTCTTTCCTTTGATATGTCTAGAACCCCAGTCTAAGGCATCGTACATAAATATTCTAAATCCTGCTTTATACAGTTGACTAAAAACTTTTAACTGGTATGCCATTGTAACATTTCCCCATGTATTTGATGTGAATCGAAGAGTTATACTCTTCCCGTGCACAACGTGCTTATAACTAAATCCAAAATGCACTTCTAGGCAGAGTTGTTTCACATTTTTCAAAGCACCAGATTGGATGATGTCTGACATTGTCTCCCATTCAAATCCTTCAATGTCAATTTTGAGAATATCTATTTCTTTCTGAAAGAAATAAAACATATATTTATTGCTGTTAAAGATATCTAGTTTTATTTTCAGATTGTAAAACATATAATAAAAAATATGTAATAAAACAACTATAATTTCAATGTCAAAATCAAGTGAAACATGTGAACATGAAAGTTCATGTGTTGATGCCATATATTCAATACCAACGATGACACAAAAAAGAAGACATAATGTTGATTTATTTCCATTGTGGTCCTTAGAATTGATCATATGACACAGGAATAGCAAATTAATAACTATCATCAAATATTGCACATAAATTATTCAATCACAAGTTGCTTAAGATTCTTAAGGTAGAACACCCCTAATGGGCACTATAAGGAACTGTAAAATTGACAACACAGGGCAGTTATATGCATTAAATGTCACCTGTATGCAAACTTTAAACAAAATTTACCGTGTGGTTTATGAGTTATAGACATTTTTCTGAACTAAAACTTTGCTACTAGAAGGGCTTTTTTCAGATATGAGGAAACTCTAAGTAATCTATAATATCATCATTATGAAAAATGTTTTCTTATTGCTCATTGTTAAGAAACAAATAATGACATTTAGGTAACAAATTAAACAAGCCAAATGAGTGTTTTTAAACGAAATGCTTTAAATATGTATAAAAATGTAACCCTACCCCACCCACTTTTAACACTTATTTTACCATTTCCCTGTGTAAAAAAACTTATTTAAAATATCCCTAAAATTTTTCACAATGAGGGGCTGTTTTCAAAGTTTGCCTAAATTTTCTTAAATGTATTTTGGTTGGTCTTGCAAAATATAAAATACTTTTACGGTGTAGTTTTAATTTTATTAAATTTTTAAAATATCTGGTATCATATTTGCTATTAAATTTGGCATTATTTAGTAAATAAATACCTAAAAAAATCAAATAATTAAAATAAGACACTTTTTTCTTACATAAGGGATCTGAGAGATTAATAAAAAATGTTAAAAAGAAAAAAAAAGATAGAAAAAAAAAATGCCCCTTCTGGGGTTCGAACCCACGCCCCTCAGTTTCAATACACTTTACAGTGATTCTAGCCTATTTGAATACTCTTCAAAGTGGAGATAGTGCATTAGGGGTGTACTACCTTAAACCAAGTATTGCACATAATAGTAATAGCATCACATATGTATTATAATTAGATAAAACTTTATTTTACAAAGAAGCGTATCAAATTTCATTTCGAATGTTCATATCATGTGACTTGCAAGAAAAGACATTAACACCACGAAGACACCACGAAGACAGACAGTAAAATATGCAACTCACATCAGTATGGGATAATTGTTTTAATATTGTAGACAATCGCTGCATTCTCCAAACTCTTTCCAATGGCCTATCATGTTGTCTCCATACTTCTGGTTGTTCTTGAATGAAATCTCTTCCAGATAGCCCGAGTAGGTGGTAATTAATATAATAAGGTATGTCTTTAGAATCCACTGCAATGCTAAAAATAGCAAATTCATATAAATTTTCATATCTTTTCTCAAACATATAATAAAGCATTTTGCTTTACTAGCTTAATGAGATTGAGAAAATAGCTTTGAAAACAACATCAATATTACTTTTTATTCTTCTGTTGTTGTATGCTATTCTTTAACGTTTAACAGAGTTGCAAAATGGTTTTTATATCCGCTTAAAACAAAGGTATCATAGAAAATGTACTTTTCCAAAGTAAGAATAAGCATTTTATTTTAGTTTAAACAAAAGACAATTAATTTACAAGACTTTTTTTAGCACAAATTCAATTTACTGTTCATTTGAAAAGTATATTAAGCTGAAAACGCGACAATATTTTATCAATAGTACGAAAGCAAATATATAAGTGTTTAATACCTTGGATCAAATGTATGTATTTGACACTTGAATGAGTTCCACGTTGCTGTTTCAAAAGCAAAATCTAGTTTAGAACTGAAAAATAATATCATTTCATAAAGAAGGTATTACGTAAGCATTTGTCAAAATTTACATTTAAAACAGAAAAATACTATTGATACCTTAAAGACATTTTTTATGTTTAATTTTAATAAATATGTTTAAATTGCGCAGGATTTCGCTCTCATTTTCAAGACACTAACTGAAATAGGACATTAAGAAATATGTAAACATATACCCAAAAGAATACACTATACATGATGAAGACACTGGCTTCACTTGTTTGTCAAGACAAACATTTTTTCCTGAACCAGAGTCGGGACCAAGCCTTGATGGTGCACCGCAATAGAACTGCGTACTTGTTGTGTATCTATAATTAAAATATATAAACTTTCATAATATTAACATTATATTCTAAACACACATTATGTTCTAAAACAAAGTTGATTATCATATACTTGTTGATATTTTTCTACATTTAAGGAAATTATCACATGCACAATCATTGTATTTTGAACAAAATTAATTTATGATTTAAATGCAGGTTAGCCTGCAATATTGACCATTGGTTTAATAATGATTAGAATATAGGATAGCTGTTATATTTAAAGTTTAATATATACTTTAGCTGCCTTTCTCTTCCCACATTTCAATAATGATTAGAATATACGTATTATGCAGTTTTATACAGCTTACATACACTCCTGCAAGACATAAAATTTAACAAAGTTCTGTACATTAGGCCAGAACAATTACCAAAATATTTAGTTCTCATATCAACATATGCTGGGTAAGTTAATAGAAAGTGATACTCTGATTCTATCTTTTTTGTGTTACACATTTTACAGATTCGTCAGTGTCTTTGTGAACAAATAAATCCTAAAAAATCAGTTTCTAGGTTGTGCGACATGTTAAACATTTTCGTTATTTATCAGTTCTTATTTAAATTTCATAGATAATTTTCATATCCAAAACACATTTTATACTTTCTATAGTTATCTAGTTTAGGCATATAGAATGTTGTCTCATCCCAAGATTGTATTACCTGATCTCAAAAAGCAGGAAAATAATTTTAAATATTTTGATAATGGTTTTAGTAGACTATAACCGCCTTTATTTAACCCATATTTTGATTATGATTAAACTACATGTTCACAGCCTTTATTGACCTTATTTTTCGACATATTTATAATGATTAAGATAACTAAAAGCCGCCTATATTTACATTTTATAATGATTAACATACAAGATTGCGCCATTATTTACCCACATTTTTAATAATGATACCCATGTTTATGAATTACTAGAATGCATGTCAACAATCTTTATTTACCCACATTTTTATAATGATTAAAATTCACGATTGCCGCCTTTATTTACCCACATTTTATTATGATTAAAATAAATAATAGCCGCCATTATTTTCAAACATTTTAATAATGATTAATTGACGATAACCGCCATTATTTACCCACATTTTAATAATAATTTAAATACACGATTGCCGCCATTGTTTACCAAAATTTTTATAATGATTAAATATACGATAGCCGCCTTTATTTACCCACGTTGTGAAAAAGATTAAAATACACGATTGCCGCCTTTATTTTCCCACATTTTAATAATGATGAAAATACACGATTCCCGCCATTATTTACCCACATTTTGAGAATGATGAAAATACACGATTGCCGCCATTATTTACCCACATTTTAATAATTATTAAAATACACGATTGTCGTATTTATTTACCCACATTTTGATAATGATGAAAAACTTACAAACAAATGTAAGTGACTTACTTACTGTTCAAATACTAAATAGATAGAGTCATTGTCCATTTTGTCAATCACATCATCTGTGGGAAGCAAATAGTTTTTAATTTGCTGAACTTGATCTGGACATAGAGTCGAGTTCTTGAAATCAAAATAGAAGTTAAAAGGTTTAATGTTTGTTGAATCAATGAGTTATAGCAATTAGTATCACTAATAATTAATGAAATCTTTTTAAACAAATGACATGATTGATGATATCTGTCATACGTTGCATTTTGGACGAAAGTACGGGCGGGTATCCAAGGGATTGATATTCCTATCCGAACCGCAAAAAGTCATTAGTTTGTTCTTGCAAATTCTAACATATCCGTCCATATTTCAATTGATTTCTGATAGAAAATTATGTCATTTTATCCGTGACTATATTTTTACAGTAACGTATGAATTTATTAACGCAGTTTAATTCTAAAATGCGACAAATGATGTCATATTGCAACATGAGACACATCGACCATGTTCCCCATGCCGGATGACATTTCCAGTACAATTAAAACTAATGGAAATAAACTACGTGTCTATTATGACGTCATTTTACACGAAAATAATCTTTTATTGAGGTAAACCATTTTAAAGATCCTGTACGTTAAACTCAATTCTTTATGAATTTATATCATAAATATAGTGCTCAAATGAAAATTTATCAATATTGTAATTTCCAAAAAGCATTATTTATAAAGATATTACCGAATTTACATTTCATGTTAATAAAGGCTAGATAGATAGATTCTTTTTTTTTAGAAGCATAATTATATACATATATAAATTTTCACTTAACTGTGGTAACAACTTTTATTACAACATACAGGACCTTAGAATATGCAAGAAAAAATATTTGACATTTGCTTGCGGTTCAAAAAGAATATACATTATTCCAAATAGAACACAATTCAGATTTTGATTTACATTTTCTCATAAGAGAACGCTATATTGATATAAATAGTGCATTTTAATTTCTTTTGTAAATATTTACATCATTTAGGGGAAATTTATTCTACTTAAACAGATTCATTTTCAGAGCTAGTATGTAAAAGTTATACTATAAACAAATGGTTTTAATTTGTTATAACATTAGGATATTTAAAATGTATGTGATTTAAATATTAATATACTTACCGAAAACGATTCTGTATGATATCCTAAAATTATTAAACACATAACAACGATCCCACAAGTAAGAATAAGTATTTCTTTCGGCGACAACATGTTCAGAAGTATATAAAATTTTATCGCATTTTTTTTAATTTGTTGATGTCCCTATTTATGTATGCGTTTTAAATTCCAAAGCAGAGTATAAATGTACGGTAGTATTTAATGGTATCAAAACATACATAAAACAGAAAAGTCGATAAAATATATACGCAGTCTGATGATTGAATAGGAGTGTTTGGATATGATTGAAATTATCATGTTTATGGAAAGGATTCGCCTAATTGGATAAGAATATTCATTCTTTCTAATTCAATTATTTTTTTTATTTTTTTTAAGTAGCAATTTGTTTATGGAAGAATAAAACAAATTCGAAATACATCTTCTATTACTCTTTTGAAACATTATTGAAATTATTATGTTTATGGAAAGGATTCGCCTAATTTGATAACAATATTCATTCTTTCTTATTTAATTAGTTTTTTTTATCTTTTTTAAGTAGCAATTTGTTTCTGCAAGAATAAAACAAATTTGAAATAGATCTTTTATTACTTTTTTGAAACATTATTGATAAATAAATGTTTACCATTCTGCAATCGACTAAAATAGAAAACAATATTTTGTTAATAAAATGGTTTTCCATAGCAGATTAACAGAAACAATCAGCCTTAATCAGCCTTAAGACATCATTATACTTCTTTTATATATGGCAAATATTTAAGGGTTTTTGAATGTTCTGCTTAATCTATTTTTGTAATATCATTGATATGAGTACTGTTATGTTCATTGTACCTAAATCTTTTAGGGTATTTGTAACTTATCGGTAAATGAACGCTTTTAAAAATTGTCAAAGACTTGCTACAATTTTGGATTTGAAGCACAATTCTGACTTGCTGCACAACATTGACTAGCTGTACAACCTGGACTAGCTGCACAATCTTGACTTGATACACAACATGGGCTTGGTGCACACTCTAGACCAGGTGCACAATCTGGAATAGATGCACAACCTAGAAAAGCTGACAAGCTGCACAACCTGGACCTTCTGCAAAACATTGACTTAGACTTACTGCACATGCTGGACTTGCTGCTTACCTTACAACCTGGACTTGGTGCATTACCTAGACTTGCTGAAGAACCTGATAAGCTGCACAACCTAGACTTGCTGAAGAACCTGATAAGTTTCACAACTAGACTTGCTGCAGAACCAGGTTTTGTTGCACAACCATGACTTGGTCACTTAAAGGGACTCCACTGAGGTTTAAAAGCCTAAAAACCTAACATTTGAATTTCTTACATAAATGAGCTAAAGGGGCACTTTAAACAAAAATATATGCAAAAAAAAGTTAAGAAAAATACTTTGAAATAAATTGAAAATCATATTTTTATGCTTTTCGTAGCCCGAATTGAGCGAAAAGCGATTAAACGCTTTTCAGTTTGGGTCATTTTTTTTACCATTTGAATAATTATTTTGGAAAAACGAAGTGCGCGAATGATCTGAAATTTTGCATAAAGATAAGTGGTCCAAACCTTCATCAAATGGAACATTTATCTGGAAAAAATATTTTCAGTCCCGTCATGTCAAAAAACCTCAGTGGAGTCCCTTTAAATGTTTCCTTTGATCATCATGTCATTCTTGACAATGTTTAATATTCTTATTCCTGAGCTGAAAACGTGATAAAACCAAATAATAAGAACTTATATAAATGTAAGTTTTTGACGTGTAAAATTCACCTTCTTGATTCACAAGGTTTCCTACAAAAATACCCTTCTGTAATGAAACCTTCTACTTTAATATTAGGGATGTGACATCTATATATTGACAACTGAATGACATTTGAAATATGAAATGTATATTTCCAGTTATAATTGTAATCTGTACATTCTTTAAATTTGATATTCAACCTTGTATAAAAATACGTTTAAACTCAACAATCACCAGAGCCATAATGCTTTCAGACTAAGTCAACCGTCTTGAGTCTTTACAATTTATATACCTATGTAAAAGTTATCCTCTTAACCATAGCTCTCGAATCGGTCCATAGAAAATGTATAGACTGCTCTTGGTTATTAAAGAGTTGGATTACGAGAACTCTTAATCGAATTAATCAATTTTGACAGTGTAACGGTTTTTGATGACAAACAAAGACTTAAATATTCATAATTATTAATACATGTGTATTGTTTTCTATAGTTATTCATTACCCTTTTCACAGATATTTATACTTCATAACTGTAATTGTCAAGTTCCTTGTAGCAGCTGTAAAAAGTTCTCCTGTACCTTACTTCAGTATTATGATGTTGTTATGGTCCTTCGGGACCACTGGCTCCATCACATGAATATTGAAGATTAAAAAAGGCAATTATAGGAACCTAAGACATTTTGTACTTTACTTTTTCTCAAATGTAAATACACAGTCAAATCAAAGCTGATAATGATTAATGATATTGTTGTTTTCGTTTCTTCCTGGAATCTCGGTATAATAATCATTAATTATTCCAAATTTTCTGTTTTACTCAATGCTTCACATAAAATTGTAAATACAATAAAACAACAATGTGATGAACTTATAGGGAGTTTAAATTTAAAAGAATAATAAACTATTTAAATAATAGGATGTGGAAAGAAATTATAAAGAAAAATATAAGCATTTAGGTGGAATATCTTTTATTTAAATGTAATATAAACACAAAAGATGTATTGAAATTTAAACTTCAAATAAATATATACATGAAGAAATAGTATCGTGGCGTGAAATCAGTTTTAATGAAAAACCCACAAAATATCTCAGGACAAATACTTGTCAAATTTCAAAAAGAAAAAAAACCCAAATAACAACAGTCTACTCTATTTCAAACAATTTAGAAGTAGAAATATATACGTCGAAAAAGACATCTAAAATACAAACATATAGATGTATAAAACGTTTAATTGATTAAAACTGAGTACTACATTCCTAATACTGAGTTTCTGAATCACCATATAATAATTATCTCTTTAATCCCAATATAATGGGAAGGAAAATTTAATAACAGCAATAACAATTGGGGAAATAAATGTTTATTAACTTCAAGAAAAGAAAATCGAAACACAGCTCTTTAATTAAAAATTGACACAGGTTTAAAAGAAAAATAACTCTAAGATACCAGAAGGAGAAATTAATGGGAGTATTTCTAAATCAACAAATATATACAAATGTGTTTGATATTTGTAAGGATATTGTTTTGCAAAAATTTTATTTTGACTACATACAGGGAAAATTTGCATCTAACAATTTTTCTATTAAGGTGTAAGTTAGAGAAGTCTAGACTGTGATTTTTGTGATATAGAAGTAGATACTATAGTAAATATATTTTGAAACTGTCAACACACATAAAGTTTTTGGAATGAATTGTTTGAATGGCTAGTTGAAATCGGTATATATGAAACCCAAGGCAATTTTGTGTTCATTTTTCATTCACGAAATAATATTATGTCATATGGTACCGTATTTGCTAAACATTATATACACAATTGTAAAATAAAAGAAAATCCCAAATCATCTTGTGTATCAACGAAAATTGCTTGATATAATATCCTTAGAAAAATGCATAACATTTGAAATGATTTGAACATAAAATGGAACAATATCCTAATAATGTTGAGAACTGGCTGATGATATATCAGAAGTATATTACCAATGCAAGCTTTCTTGTCATAACCATTTTCTTATCTTACCGCAGTTTGTGGAAAACATATATATTTTTAGGGTTTTTTTCTAAACAATTATACTCTTTGACCTCCACTCTCAAATTGTCATCATTTTACCATATTTAAATGACTCAACAAACTATGTCTAGTTTAAAATATCTTCTCTTTTTCCAAAAGCGGTTCACGTTTAAGCTCTTCGTAAGTACTTATTTAAAAATAGTTTACAATAGAACAACATATGAATAATTGTTTATTATCATGTAAATTAAATAATATAAAATGTAAAAATGTGAGTATAAATAAACCGAGCTTAAACGTGGTTCCAAAAAGTAATAAAAACAACGCAATAAATGATTTAGTTTAAAGTTTTAGACGATATGTCTGTAATTGCATGCGTTCGTGCGAGGGTAGTGTGTGTGGTTTTATTTATGCTTGGCGCAGGAATCAACAAAATGTCAGTGATGTATCAGCGTCCATGCCGGTCCACATCTGTTGCCACACCGTGGACATCTTTTTCATCTCCTTTTTGCATTCAATTCCTTAATAAATACATGTATGTAAAATAACTCGTTAGCAGCGTAAAATAATATGTAGGAGGATGCATGTCAATATAGAACTTATAATGTGTAGGAGAACGCATGGTTAAACAGAACTTAAATACCTGAAATTTAACTTGATAGTAAAAGAACATATGAATGTAGATAATTAGTTTCCAGACTTCTTTAGATCAATTAAAACAATAAGACGCGTATACCATGTCAGAAAAAAATCCTTTATGCTACATCACTAATTCTACAAGAGCCAATCAGATTCCGAGATTTCCGATTGTAATTTTAAAAGGACCAATGAAATTTTTACATATATTCAGTTCTATCGTGTAAATGTTACAGGTAGTCAAGCTGAAAACAGACCTGCCTTCGGCCTGAAAAAGGTGGAAAGAGAAAGAGCAGTCTATTACTCCAAAAATGGAAAGAGTTCATATTAATAGTGGTCATGTATGGACTGTCTTTATCTGTCGTTCACATTTCAAATATAGCTTAATAGACGATACAAAAAAGTGAAATGATTATCTTTTTGCTTCAAAATATAAACCTGCAAGTGTTTGTTGCATAACTGCTGCACCAATGCCTCAATTTAAGGACATATGCATTATTAACAGGTGTGCGGAGAATGGATGTAAATATTTTAATTAATGGTTGCCTATATTCTTTTTAGATACAATGACCAGTTACACCATTTCCATCATGTTTACATAACGATTATGAGATTGAGTTAACTGTTATACAATATTTGTCATGATACTTTAAATTAGCCTATGTATTTTATGAATTGATCATTTGTAACCTGCAAAGACAGGTTTTCCTAGTGTTTATTTCTAGATAAATCGCAGTTTTAGTTGCTTGTGGCTATGACCTAGATTGAAAATTTCTGTTCTAACAACTATTTGAAAAAGTAAATTGATCAGTTTCAAAACTTGTCGTCAACTCTGAAAAGTTTTATGGCTGTAGAATATTAAAGCTAG